TCCCTGTGTTTTGGGATATTCTGTGACTCCCATGTGACCTGTTTGTTACTGTCTGCTACTTTATGGGTGGGTGCCAGTCCCTGGGTGACCGCTGCTCAGGAGCACTCATACCTTCAGGTTTGCACTGACACTTCCTCTTCAGGTGAGCTGTGAGGTTCAGGATGCAGCACTGGAGGTTCACTATCTCTTGGCAGTTGGCTGCAGACAGAGAATGAGACTTGAGATACGAGTGTGGTCACCACAAATCCAGGGGCCCCATGGACATGGCAGGAAGCACAGTGGGTGGCTGAGAAGTTCCCACTGTGTGGCCAGCGAAGGGAGGTTTCCCCCGTGGCATCACCAGGGCTTTGAGCTGCTGCAGTACAGCCATGTCTGCTGATGGTTGGTGGGGAAAATTATTCTGATTGATGCAGTGTCTCTGTCTTTTGGCTTAGTTTCATCAAGTGTGAGTAGGAAAAAGCAGTAAGCCCTGTCTTTGCCCCTGTCCCTTTCCACAAGCTGGTGCTGGGCACAAGGGGAAAGAGCTGGAGACTGGCTGAGTCACCAGGGCACATTTTGGCCATGAACTCTCACCCAGTTTGTCACAATTGAGAAATTCCCAGGGCTGACACACGTCAGTAGTCAGAGCTGGGGATCCAATTCAAATAGCAGAGGGAGCAAAGGCTTAGGACCATGTGTGTCTGGCTTCAGCTACAGGTGTCTGGAGTCAGGCAAAGGCTCTGGGCCAGCTGGGTCGGGTCAGGGTAGGGGCTGCTTATTCCCTCCCACCAGCCACAGATACCTGCTCTCTGAAGCTGAGGGTTAGGATTTGAGCCAGGGAATCCTTCCCATGCTGCCAGGAGCAGAAGAGCTCTGCTGGCAGCTGTTACTGCTGCCCTATGGCTCTTCTGGTTATGTCTAGGTAAGCAGCGCCCTCCTCAGTGAATCCCCAGAGCTACCAGGCTGACAATTTACCCTTGCCTCTGGCCTTCCTCCATGAAATTAACTCAGCTCTGCTGGGGTGGTTTTCCTCCATGATTCAGTGTGTAGGGGTTATGAGTCTTCCTTTTCTTAAACAGGTGAGGTGCAGGATGCTGGTGCACCCTGGCAGAGCTCTCCTGCCTGTTCCCTAACCATTGGGTGTTGCTGTGCATTAAGGTGCTGTGTCCCTCCGTGCCCCTCACAGGGGTGATGAAGGTGGCCCCAGAGCTGAGGCAGAGCCAGGGCTTTCCCCACGTACCTCCATATCTCACTGTGATGAACATGGTAGTTGCTCAGCTTGCTCAGCGTACCTCTCCCAGAGCTTCTGTCCTCCAGCGGGGCCCAGGTCTGTGCTGGGGGTGCTGCTTCTGCTGGATGCTGTCCTGCAGGCAGTGGGGATGGAAAAATGCCTGGTGGCAGTGGTGGTAGCTGCTGGAGAGCCCAGGGAACAGGCTGTGTTTGCCCCTGACTCTGTTGTGGTTTCAGTCACCAGATTTCCCAGCAACAGGGAATGTCCCCTGCAGCTTCCCAAGCCTCCTGCAGC